GGCTCATTTTTAGCTAGCTCTTATAATTTAAATTAACCCATTTCTATTCATCTATGTCCTGCCCTAATTTACCTCATGTATGTACTTTCCAACCTGCTCACTCTGTGTCTCATGGTGTCTCCTCTGACTCCATCCTTCTCCACAGCATTCTCTCTGCCCCAAAAAATCTGCCTAACCATCTGCCAATCAATTTTTTATTAGCAATGAAACCAACATGTTTTCCCCAGTGTGCAAAAGGATTATTTCACAGCAAATTCCAGAAGAACAAAATCTTACAGGATGGACAGTTATCTGTGGTGATGAGATGGGATGCTAGAATAGAAAAGTAATTGTCTTACAAGACTTGACCAGCCAGGAGTTGGTGACGCATACCTTTAATCCCAGCACTCGGAAGGCAGAGGCAGGCAGATCTCTGTGAGTTCGAGGCTAGCCTGGTCTACAAAGTGAGTTCCAGGAAAGGCGCAAAGCTACACAGAGAAACCCTGTCTCGAAAAAACAAACAAACAAACAAAAAAGACTTGACCAGATCTGCTTAATTCCTCATACTTCTTCCTCTACTCTACGCCCTCTGTTTAAGGATAAAGTTCGTGTTAGTAGTGTGAAAATGGATGTGTGGGAGTCACTGGACCCCATTTATTTGTTCCTCTCACAGTGTGGCCACATTAAATAAATCTCTCTCTGCTTTTCACCATTCCCAGCAGAGGATCAGCATAGTCTCTTACATTGGGATTCTGAGTAGCATAGTAGAGAAGCCCAAGTAAGACCAGATAGCAGAAACACAGATCTTTGAAATTAATGGTAATAACAATTATTATATCAGCAGCTATCATCTGGTGCTTACTGCTTTCCAGTCACTTTCCTAAGTTCTTTGCATGCATTAACCCATTTAATCCATACAACTAACCCATGAAGCTGGACTAAACTGACCATCATGTAGTGATAAGAAAGCTGGCACAGCCAGGCGGTGGTGGCGCACGCCTTTAATCCCAGCACTCGGGAGGCAGAGCCAGGCGGATCTCTGTGAGTTTGAGGCCAGCCTGGTCTCCAAAGCGAGTTCCAGGAAAGGCGCAAAGCTACACAGAGAAACCCTGTCTTGAAAAAACCAAAAAAAAAATATATATATATAAAAAATATAAGAAAGCTGGTACAAAGGGCTTCAGTAACTTGCACAGCTACACAGCACAGTGACATTACAATGCTGCTCAGTGTTGCTGGTAAACGTCAAAAGCATGAGAAGGAGACCTGAAGTCACAAAGTCATTAAGATTAAAATTAGACTAGGAATACAGCTCAATGGTAGGGCACTTGTCTATCACACACAAGGCCTTGTGTTCAGTTCCCAATACTGAAAGAAAACAAAACTAGGAGTTCTAGATATCCCCCTTCCCACTACAGCACGAAAGATCAAGAGATAGAGGTCGTGTGTTATTCTTGGGTGTTTTGACAGGTGAATCTCCAGGGAAGCTCTGATCGTCTGTCGATGAGAAGCATGAGCGAACCCTTGAAAGTTTTGCATAGTGTAGGAAACCTTAAGTAGTCTCAGGATGAGGAATCTTTAAAAAAAAAAAACCCACAAAACATTTGTTTATTATTGCTATCAGCAAGAGCAAATCTCTCAAAACCGTTATCCTTGGTGATAGAAGTATGATCAGGAACATTGCTCAACAAATGCTGTTATTGCTCAGTTGTTGAGTTGTGGCTGGTTCATACACACCACCAGCCTCAGGAGCCTTCTTATGCAAGAAGGAAAAGAGACTTGGAAGTAAGAATATAGCTTGACCATGCATGAATTCCTATATCTGTCTTAATTACTTCTAAATATTAAAATGTAAGTACCACTCTGCAGTTTAATAAGCACATCTATGATAGAAAACTATGGCAACTATTGATGCAGGTATATGCCTTCTAAGGAGAACCAATTTATCTAGAAGGTTATGAAATACTCTAGAGCAAGTAGTACAATTGTGTAAGTCAGTCCATCATTCAACACACTTGCTACCTTCTTGCTCTAAATCTACATGAAACCAACCTCACAGACCAATGTGGATCCAACATAAGAACAGGAGCTTATTACAGCTTCCCAGCACCCTGACAGAGGCTGACCAATCTGTATTAGTGTCTCTACCTAAACTGTGTTCGTGAAACTTCAAAAACTTGTTTTCTTGTGAGTGGGCAAAATTGATTACCAACTGCATTTCAAAGAGCATTTTAGATCTGGGGCCTTTCCCCATTCCCAGTCTTCTCCAACTGTCTTTGTGAGTTTACAGGCATTTGCGCTACATCCTTGACTTGATCCTGTATTAAGAATAAAGAAGATAAGTTCGTATAGGGGAAAAATAACAAAGGAGGGACTTTCCTACAAGATCTTTGAAAAAAAAAAAAGGACATTTGCATAAGCCATATTTAACCAGCATCTTTGTTTTATGTTTTTCCTTTTCTGAGGGCTTTAGTGGACTCCCTCCTAGTCTCCACCCTTCCACTAATCAGAGAACAAAGGCTTCAGGATGCCTCCTAGGGACCTTCCTGTCTTCGTGCCTGGATAATTACATTTAATGATTTGCACCTCCTGCTTCCATGGCTCTTCCCTCCTTAGTCATCAATATGCTCCTCTTCCAGATGTGGCTGTGATTCTGTCCCTCTCTTGCTCTCGCTTTCCAAAGACGGTGGCACAAGCTTCGTGAGCTTTAGTTTGAAATTTAAAGCCATGTGATGGCACTTCCATCTCTGCTTTTCTTTAAGCCAGTAACATTTGTCTGCCTAGCAATAGGCTCAGTAACATTTCTTTCCTTTCCTTCTTTCTTTCTTTCTTTCTTTCTTTCTTTCTTTCTTTCTTTCTTTCTTTCTTTCTTTCTTCCTTTCTTTCTTTCTTTTAAACTTTTATTCTTCCCTCATATATTACATCCTGTCTGCAGTTTCCCCTCCCTCTACTCCTTCCAGTCCCTACCCCCACTTCCCCTCTCCCCCAGATCCACTCTTCCTCTGTTTCCCTTAAAAAAAAAAGCAGGCCTCCCAGGGATACCCTGAACATGGCCTAAGAAGACACAATAAGACTGTGCACAAACCCTCATATCAAGGCTGGGCCAAGAAATCCAGCAGGAGGAAAAGGGTCCCAAGAGCAGGCAAAAGAGTCAGAGACACTCCCCACTCCCATTATTGGGAGTCCCACAAGAAGACTAAACTATACAGCCCTACGGTATGTGCAGAAGATCTAGTTCAGACCCATACAAGGTCTTGTTTGTCTCTTTGGTCTCTGTGAGCCCCTATGAGCCCTGCTTAGTTGATTTTGTGGGCCACATTCTCGTGGTGTCCTAGACCCCTCTGGCTCCTACAATCCTTCCTCCCCATCTTCTGTGGGGTTCCCCTAGCTCTGCCTAGTGCTTGACTGTGGGTCTCTGCATCTGCTACCATCAGTTTCTAGATGATGCTCCTGTTATGACAACTGGCACCTGTCTATGAGTATAGCAGGATATCATTAGGAATCATTTCGTTGATTTTTTTTTTTTTTTTTGCCAATCGTGTTTGGATGCATGGATCTCCCAGAGAAGGGGAAGTAGAATAGATTTTGTAAGTGGACTGGGGGCCAGTGGGGATGGGAACAGGAGGGGGAGTCAGGTGGGAGTGAGAGGGACAGAGGGAGACAGTACTGGGAGAGACTACTGGAACTGGGGAGCATTTAGAGTGTGATGTAGAGACCTAGTGTAGTGGAAACTCCCTGGAATCTACAAGAGTGACTATAGTGAAGTCTCCTAGCAATGGAAGATACAGAGCTTGAACTGGCCATCTTCTATAACCAGGCAAGGCTCCTAGCAGTGTTACTGGGACATCCAGCCACAAAACCTCTGACCTATAATCTGTACTGCCTGCAAGATGTGCTGGGGTAATGGTGGTACAGGATTTATGGGAGTAGACAATCAATGACTGTTCCAACTTGAGATCCAGGCCACGAGAGGGAGCCCACGCCTGACACTGCCTGGATGGTCAGGAACCAGAGGCAGAACAGTCCAAAGACCCAGAATAGAACCAAATACGGCTGGCAGTAAAATTCTTTCAATAATAAAATTTAAAGTTTCAGTTCACAAAGCAGTTTCACAACATCACAATAATCCTATGATGTAAACAAGTAGGCTTCCTTATTTTAAAGGCAAATAAACTAAATCTCAAGGTAATAAACTCTATAGTCTTTGAGATTTATCTCATCATTGTAATAAAATCCTTAAAATCACATATTAAACTTACGTCCTGAATAGAAGACCGCATTTTGAAATCGTTATACATTGTGCCCCCCAAGAAATAGTCTCTTTCTTTTTGGTTCCTTGTCCCTGATGTTTTAAGTGACTAAGCATTTCAGGCAGGGCTGTGAGCGCTTGAGTCTATCTTTGTGTACTATACGTCTCTGTAGAGTGCACCCTAAGCCACGTGAGTGTGATTGACACCTACTAGTAGACACACTGGATGAAGGGTCTTCTGCAATAGTGATAGAATCTGAAATGACTTTAAGAAAGAAAAAAAATCCTTATTTAAAAAAAATACTCTCACAGATGTGAAAATGTACATAAAAACAGCATTGGTCATGAAACAGGAAAATATTTCCAGCCAGTTTCTTTTCTTTTTCTCTTTCTTTCTTTCTTTCATTTATTTATGTATGTCTCAGAATTTATTTATTTGTTTGTTGTTTGTTTGTTTTGGTCTCACTATGCAGCCCTGGCTGGCCTGGAACTCACTGTGTAGACCAGGTTGACCTTGAGCTCACAGAGCCCTGCCTGCCTCAGTCTTTGTCTCCCAAGTGCAAGCATTAAAGGCATAGGCCACTACATCCAACTCCAGTCAGTTTCTAACAATGTCCTGTCCTCCCATAGAAGTTCAGGCTCTGAAGTTAGCTGAATACTTATCACTGCACTTATATACTTTTTCTAATTTATTTGAATGTATTTTATTCATTTACTGTTACTATTCTAGTTGGGAGAGTGGAGACTAAAAAGGAGGTGGACTAGTGTCTCATACAAAAGTCATCTTTATTCAGGGCATCAGAAAATATGTATCTTGAGGGTTAGACAAAGTTACATGAGGAAAGTTTGAGAATTCAGGCAGTATACAGTCATGAGGGCAAGGTCATATGAGTTTAGGCAAGGTCATGTGAGTTTTGTCTTACATAGTCATGACAGCAAGGACACGTTAGTTCAAGTTATATACAGTCAAGAGGACAACCTGCGCTTGGAAACATCATCCGAAGAATAATGGCAAATTGATGGGTAATCCGAAGAAAACCCACTCCTGTTCACACCGGCAAGGGTGAGAGCATATTTCAAGAACAAATCCAGTTATGCAGGAGCAGAGGTTCCAGGTCTCTTGTCTTGTTTACTTGGAGTTTTCTCACAAGCTCTCAGAAATCTCCTCACACAGCTTTCTTCATGGACTGTGTTCCAACAATTTACCAAGTGTCAAGCAACAAACTAGGAACTCCAGAGATCTGGCACAATCTCTTCCCTCAAGAAAGGTACAATCTCATCTAGGAAAAAACCAGCATATGTTCTCATATACAAACAACAGACAAACAGTTTAAAAAATTCTGCTGTATTTAAATGAATCCTGTTACAGATTTGCAGAGTGAAGTCGAAAAATGAGATAGCCTATGGGTTGGGCAAGTTAAAGAGCTAGTTATAAAAGAGATGGCAAGGGTTGGGGGATAGCTCTCTGAAACTTAGAGAGTAGAATTCATGTATCTGAGTAGGAGATATTGGGGAAAGGGAAAGAAGATGTCATTCCAGCCTGAGCCCAGGAATCTTTCTACCTGTTTTATCTCATCTTCCTAATATCAAAGATGTATTACCTGCAGCTCCAGGACAGTGGATTGTGTCATTATTAACAGTCAGTGACAGTCAGAACACTGATCTAAAGGAAGCTAGTGACGTCTAATAAAGAGAAGGGAAAACTCAAAACTAAAAGTCAGTGCAGACGATTTTCTCTTATTTGTTCAGTGGCTGTGAAACGCTGTGTGCGGAAGTTAGCCACCTAAGCAAGGGCGATAGGGAAGGTGATGTGAACTACCATAGTGGCTTCTGCTCACAGAAAGCGGAGCTACAGTGCAAAGGAGACTTTTCCAACTTGGATAGAACACCATTCTTTGGAGGTGGAAAGCAAAGCTTTTTTTAAATGAACTTTATCATAGTTTATGAACTATGTGCAAGCAGTATGAGTTTCCAGTTACACATGTATCAAATTTTCACTGTGCTTGGCATCGGGTCCAGTACTGAACTGATGTAGGAAACGAGAGTTAGGAAAGAGAAAATCAGACATCTTTATATTCCACAGCAATCCTTTTCCTCAGTAGTCTTATTTGTTCCTCCACAGAAAAGATAATAAAATACTGAGCTACATAAACACAAATTATGGGCTAGGGTTAGGGGCTGAGGAGGTAGGGAGGAGGTTAGAGGAACTGCTGGTCATGTAGACATCCTTCCAGAGACACTGAAGCAAACATGTCATCTTCAGTGTGGGAGATGCCTGTGAGCAAAATCTTTGAGGGAGGATTTGAAGTTGTTTCCCAGTGGTTTTTTAGTACCTCATGACTTTTCTTTTCACAGAGGATGAGTTAGTATGGATCATCCACCCTGAAAGAGAAGCAACAGGTTATAAAATTAAACTACGAAGCTTTTAAAAATATAATAAAAATAAAATAAAATAAAATAAAAATAAAAATGTTAGTAACACAGATGAACATTCTCTATCTGAGAGAGGCAAGGAAATTTCATCATCATCATCATCATCATAATAATAATAATAATAATAATGATAGAGGTAAACAGCCACTAACATGAAGAAGAGAAAGGAATTGCTTCCAGTTGGGAATTGTGGACAGGATGTGGAACATTTTAAAACAAATGGAGAGGAGACAGTAAAGCAACATTTTACACACTTATGTATTACCACCCCCAAATTAATGTTCTAAAGATTTATTTTGTTTTTAATTGTGCATGTGTATATGTGTATGTGCACTATGAGTGAAGTTGTCTGAGGAGGCCAGAAGAGGGTGTCGGAGTCCCTGGAGTTGGAGTCACAGGCAGTTGTGAGCCACACACAATGCAGATGCCAGGAATTTGGATTCTCTGCAAGAGCAGTACACACTCTTAGCTCTCTGCACAGCCCCCACCCCCAGTAAATATTTTAAATGTAGACTTTGATTCAGGCTGAAGTCTTGATTCTCTAAGAAGCTCCCCAGTGATGTTCCTACTGCTGGTCCACATCTAGTCATATTTCTGCAATGCTGCTGATTTCCATGTCTAACACTTGAAGGACATTGCATGCTGAGTTACAGTGGAGAGGTGGGGGAGTGGAAGGTGATATGCTCAAATGAAAAGAGAGACCATAGAAAATAAAAACCCATGAAAATAGTGGGGTCAGTTCTAAATGCTAGGTTCTGGTGGAACATGACTTAGAGAAATGGTCACAAATTTAGATTTATGAATATAGGTACCACCATATTCTATGTTTCAACTGTGCCATTCTTGGAAAGGGTGGAGGAGAACCACATTTCTGTGTGTTTGCACCTTTCAAAAGGAGAACCAGATTCTGAGGCCCTGGTCTCGTGATGAACTGTCAGGGTAAACCACCATGACAGCTGCAAACTTGCTTGCCAGTGTAGAAATAAAAAACGTTTGTGAAAGCAGAATCTTGCACATACCCTCCTCTGAGGTTGGCATCATATCTTCCTGTGTATCTTGGGTGTAGCTTTTACCCAGGTAGAATTTAGAAACTAGAAACCAAATGAGGTGATAAACAGAACCCGTTTGCAGAAGAGTCAAAATAGCTAGCAAGAATCAAAACCACAAATGCTCAAGGAGTCATTCATTCATTAGCCAAACACTAATAGGAATGAGTACAAAGAACTGTGAGAATCAACTTCAGTCAGAAAAAAAAAATCATAGTGTTTAGTGTGATAGTGTTCATCTTCCCCTTGGCTTATTCTAGAGACACACCCTATTTCTTCCACCCCACCCTTCCTCAGAGCTATCACACAATGGTTTAGTGTGAAAATAAATCACATTACTGGAAGAGGTGGACCTCTGGTACTAACAACTTTAACTTGGAAGTCAAGGACCTCGAGATCTCGTTATCCCTGGATGCAGGCGCTGCAAATCTCAGCTTCTCCAAATTATCCCTGGATGCAGGTGCTACAAATCTCAGCTTCTTCCTTTATTCAATGACTTCCCTTAAGTTCCTGTCATTCCCCCTTCTTCTGTTTCTTTACTGTTATTAGGGATAGCAATGCTCCCTATCGACACAGACTTGTAGGCACTATTTAATCATTTCAGACTTAAAACACTAAGAATAGTATGCAACGTGGAATGTATATTTGATGAAAGTTTATTTTTATCTATTGTTTATTGTTGTAACTCTGTCACTGGCTCAAGGCCTGTAGGTAAGTTATTTACATACTGACAAAGATAGTTTTAACGTCATATCCTCCATCTTTCTAGCCTAACATTTTATGAATTGGGATCACCTTAGCTAATCAATGAGAGATGTCACAAGGCAGCCAATCAGTTGATAGGTTCTAGAATACCTGGTAGTGAACTGCTCTGGACATGCTGGTGTGAGGAAGACACTCTTCCTTTCAACTTCGATTGAACAGATCCTCAATAAACCAGGGGCTCTAGGAAGCTCCAATCCTGGCCCCCAAATTTGCTTTTAGAGCCACCTTATTATGCCATTGTTTGAGCTATTTTTCTGTGCTGAACCTTTTGATGATTCTCTCCACAGTTCTGCCTTTTTTGTAAGATTTTTCTGTGATCACTTAGACCAATGATTTTTTTTATCAGTACAAAGTTTATCAGTCATTACCATTTCTGCCTTTTATTGTTCTGCACTTCTGAATATTTTTTTCTTAACTCTCCAATTAGATAATTATTTCCCTGAGGTTAGAGTCAAGGACTTGATGCTTTGAGTGTCTCAGTAAAGCTTAGCATTGTTCCAACATAAAAATGTTCAATAAATAACTATTATTTGAGTAATTATTTAAAAAAAATCAACAAACTGTACAATTTTGTAACTAATTATATGCTAACTATTTTTGGCCAGCATCTTCAGCTGGCCTCCCAATCCTTGAACTGAACTGAACTGCTTTTGTTCTATAGCTATCAAAGCAGCTGTTGCTGTGGCCAAAACAGCACTCTGACTAGATAGAATGTGCCAACAGACTTTCACTCAGTGGGTAGGAGCACAAAAGAAATCTTCACATCCTGTGGGTTTCCTGCTGCAGAGATAGGAGGCCAGCCCCCAAAGAGACCCTTTGCTTACTAGGACTCCATCTACACAATTACAGTGATAAAAATGGAGTGAAAGAAGACTCCACTAACACTCTGTCCCCGTTCCCACCACTCTCCCCTTCTTCTTGGCAAATTCTAAAGAAAACAGAACACGCTCTGCCTCCAGCCCACTGTCCTCATCCCTTCCCCAGCTGACTTCTGTCTTGTTCTACGTGCTGAAAGTGGCCTTCCCATGGATGCCCTTAATGCACACAGTGGAAACGTGATGGTTCTTCTGACTGTGTTTGAGACTTCCCACTCTTGTCTGTCCTTAGGATCTGGGCTTCCCAGATATTCTTCATCCTCCTTCATCTGTCTCTCTGGCACCCCTTTTCATCCTCCTTTTCTTCATTCCTGCCAGATAGGCCAGGCACTGCCTTGTGTCTGTGTCTTTCCCCAGCAATCTACATTATTACTCTAACGATAGAACTAGAGCATTGAGAACAGACTGGAGCGAATACTTTTTTAGGGAAGCAGTGGGTAGAGTTCACACTCCACAGCTTTTTTCTCATTTCTGAAGGCCAGTGCTTATTAGAGTAGTAGTCATTCACTCTTTTGTGTTAAGTATTGAGGGTCTGTGCCTGGGCAGTTCCTTGTTACAGATAGGTTAGTTGTTGGAAATGCTCATTGAATTGGATGTTTCTCAATTGTTAGATGTTGGTCTTGTAAGCCAAGACAAGATGAAACATAACAGCATGCTTCTCACCCTCAAGAAAAACTCAGATACTACCAGGAAACATTCCCATCATATGGAATATTCTTTCTTAATAGATATGTATGTACGTCCATTCATTTAATTCCACTAGCGTCAAAAACTTGAAGATTTCAGTGGAAGCCAGTGCTCAACTACCTTACCTAGAAATGCCATTTGTATGAGATCCCTATATAAATAACTACCATGGGGTTGTTGTTCTAACTATAACAGGAAGCACCCTCAGGTAATATAGAGATGAAATAAAATACATGTGGAAATTCTTCATTGAAAAACTTACCTTTTCTGAGATTTCTTGCCTAAAAATAGAAGAGAGAATAGGAAAATGGTATCATCAAAAAGTAGACAGTTTCAATTTTTAAGTAAAGGCTATGCACATCCCCATAACTGTCTTTTGAAGTACATTATGCATTTGATAAGTGGGCATCCATGTGTGACTACATGGATCTAGGGTACCAGTGAACATTCGGGGCTGTAGCATAACAAGCATGACACATGTGCTTCTCGGGATTCCATTCCATCTGCTCTGCTGCTCCTGAAGCCAGAGCCTAGGCTGGATCCTTCCAGGTCAGACCCAGTGTCCCATTCATAAGTTTATATCACACTTCATCCAAGCTCCAGCCCTTCCCTAAAGGACTTAGGTGCTAACACTGTGAACCAAAGTGTCAGTGTCTCTGAGCTTCTCTTATGTGTATCCTGAGAATTTTACTCTGGTCTTATTAGTTAGTAAGAATCAGTGGGAAGTGTGCAGCCTAATTTGAGTAACTAATGTATTTTCATCTACTTATGCAATCCTATATAAAATTCATATCTCATACACTTCTGCTTTCTCTTTTGACCGGCTGCATGGGATCTAGATCTGAAAGTCACTTCCGTCAAGTGGGTAGGACTCCATGACACACGTTTGTGTCCTAACATAAACCTTGGATCCAACTTAGCTTTGCTTGCTCAGTTGGGGCTTTCTTTTCCTTACACTTTAGGTAATTTTGGTTGACTGTACAGACAGTGTGTATTTTGTGAACTGAACTATGTTCTTTTTTAATGGAAAAGAATGTAAGTATTGATTACTTAATGGTCTGAAGAACTGAGGTCTGTTGGAAAGAAAAGAAAAAAAGAAAGAAAGAAAGCTCTCTAAGAAGAAGACCCCTTTGAGAGGGGAGGATTTTGTGTATTTCTGTGACTGTAAGCTGGTTGGTATTCTAGAACTGTCCCACACAGAGTATAACTTTCTTATTGGGTTAATTAAAGAACTGGTACTTAAAATGTTTAGGCCAAGGAAAGGAATATAATATACAGAACTCCAATTGCTTTTTAAAATTTTTTAAATTTCTAGAAATTAGTATTTCAAACCTTTTCATTCAAAATTTAGCTTTCAGATGATATGGACCAAATACGTTGATCAGGGAGAACCAAGTTCAAGTCCATTTGTTCATCCTCACAGAAATGAAAATTTTCCCTTTTAGGAACAATGAAAGCAATAACAATAGATAAACAAAACCTGGTCCTGCTGAGGGGGTGTCTAGTCCTACTGAGGGGGTGTCTAGTCCTACTGAGGGGGTGTCTAGTCCTATTGAGGGGGTGTCTTGTCCTACTGAGGGGGTGTCTAGTCCTACTGAGGGGTGACTTGTCCTACTGAGGGGGTGTCTAGTCCTACTGAGGGGGTGTCTAGTCCTACTGAGGGGGTGTCTAGTCACACTGAGGGGGTGTCTAGTCACACTGAGGGGGTGTCTTGTCCTACTGAGGGGGTGTCTAGTCCTACTGAGGGGGTGTCTAGTCCTACTGAGGGGTGTCTAGTCCTACTGAGGGGTGTCTAGTCCTACTGAGGGGTGTCTAGTCCTACTGAGGGGTGTCTAGTCCTACTGAGGGAGTGTTTATTAAAGAGAAGAGGACTAATGGAGATGTGTTCAGTTTCATGAACTGGACTAACCCTGTGTGTTGGGTCAGGTGGAAAACTCTTCCAACCGAGGATGAACCTGAAGGCAAATGCTTTTTAGAGGTGCTATTTTGGATGGAAGAGCCACCTCTGACTTGAGCTCCTACTAATGAATGATTTTAGAGCTTGGCCTTAAAAATGCCATTGCCTTAGAGAATGAGAAAAGTTAGGAGTACTGAGTGTTTCTCGCTGAGCCCATAGCCAGAGTGCTTGTTTGTGGCCCCAGGAAAGGAAAGCTGAAGGCTAACTAGACCCCAAGATGATTAGGGCATGGGCAGCCCTTGCACCAGGTTCATAGGATCCATCTGAAAGAAGAAAGTTTGGTCCTTTCATTGGTGCTCATGCTCTGGATTGTCACCTGTCCCCCTTTCCAATTTGATTAACCCAATAAAACGATAACATATATGTACTAATGTATAAATACAAAATTATTATTTTCACTATGATTCTTATAAATGTATCTGTTTAATCTCTATGGGTTTATCTTGGGGACCTAGCCACCAATTCTACCAGTGTCTCTCCAGGGGGAAAAAAAGAGACACTATTCATGTTGTAAAGAGCCAACTTACGTCTAAAATTTTTGGAGGATAAAGTCATTCACTCGCAAGCTGGAGAGACCAGTAGATGTTTCACAGTTGAAAACTACTGAAGACAGCATAGTTACCCCAAATTTCCCTCCAGAGCCAGTGATCTCTGGGAGTTGGCACTCTCTTTGGTGGCATAACTGTCACTAGCCCAAGCGTCCGTTACCTGTTTCCTGTTTGCCCTACTCCGATTCCCACAGCAGGGGCATGCCATTTTCAGGTTATCAGTTTGAGATCTTGTACAGAAATGACTGACTCCAAGGTTCAAACTTTTAAAAACAACCTCCGGCCGTTCTCATCCCACTCATAACACAGCCTTAGCCGGCTAGCACCCACCAACCACATGTGACTTCGATGCCATTCCTTTGACTCTACAGCCACCTAGGAAAGGGATGGAGTTTGGGGGTCACTACCCTCCTTAATAATAGGACTTATCACCCTTGAAGTTATTGAACTGGTAGGCACCTTATTCAGGGAGCACGTATGATGAATGACTGCCTTGCTCTCAACTCAAGGCAGCAAGACAGTTGGAGTGGGGTTTTGAAGTCTCAGTGAAAAGACTTGTCAACGGTGGAAGAGAAATGTCATCCTTTGTTTTGTGCTGGCGCTGTAGTCAGTACATGGTGTAGTCTTGTGTGGCGGTAGTATCCAAACTCACGGAATTTCCATCAGCAGAACAGACATTGAACCTGTTCAGTGCTGACACATTTTAGTTAGTGGTTCTTGAACACAGGTAGTGCACCCTCCCTTGTCTTTATGAATGGGTGGAAAATGAATCTACCACCTCTTATTTTTAAATTTGGACAGAAGATCAATTCATAGCGGGAGATCATTCGAGACTGGTAGATAATATTCTTTCGATTGCCAGTGCACCTGGGCTGGCAAACAAAATCCACAGTAATGAATCTGGTGGAAAGGAAATGTAAGTGGCCACCAGCTTACATCACAGGAAGTAGAACATAGGAGTCAGCAGTTGTTTTAAGGTCATTCATAGTCCCTGACCTTAACACAGGGGTATCTTGAAAGCTGCAGGGGTATATGAATTTTACAGTTTTGAATAGACCTGCTAGATGAACTTGGGCAAAGGTGGCTGTGCACACCCAAAGGCTGCTGCAGACTGTGAGCCTGTGGCTGGAATACTGATCTCGCCTGAAGGCAAAGGTATCCAGGAGGGAGGAAGGGGGAAAAGGAGGAATATTGTGTTCTCATGTAGTGTTCTACTTCCTGGGTACCAGAGAATGAAGTTTGGAGGAAGCCCTCCTTTTTACCTTTTCTTCTTTCCCCAACTTTCTGCCTTCTTTCCCCAATATGTACATGGTGTACAAGGTTACAGCCTCAGTGAATAGATTCCAGAGAAAATCAGCAAGGATTTCTTCTAACGGCAATACAACTTCCATGTGTCAATACCTAGACAGTTATGCGACTCTTAAAGACATCAGATGTTTGAAAACCTTAGATGGTAATAGATTCATTTCCTAATGATACTGTAGTGCTAAGATCAAAGTCATCCAGGCTCCTGGAAGACGGTGGCAATGCATCCTCTCTTCCAACAGATATAGAGCGGCAATGCATCCTCTCTTCCAACAGATATAGAGCGGCAATGCATCCTCTCTTCCAACAGATATAGAGCGGCAATGCATCCTCTCTTCCAACAGATATAGAGCCAAAGAACCCTTACAGTGTCTCATTTAGCCAAGCTCCTCATAGCAAGCTGTCATGAAAAGGTCTGCCAAGGGTGAACCATTGACTGGCTCTTTTAAATAAAGGTGTATGTCAAGCTCAGTGTCTCCAGGGACTTATGTCTACGGAGCATAGAAGTCGCTTGGCACCTGCTTCGGTTAAATGTCTTGCACTTTATTTCCTGTGGGGTTTCTTTCTCGTTTTTTTTCTACTTTAAAATTGTTTTTACTTTGATGTTATTGAACACACCTACCTTTTTTTAACCTCCTTGCCAGCCAAATGATAAATGCCAGCCCCGAGAATGCGGTAACCATGACAGCCACTGGAATGAAGAGGGGGTTGTAATCGCCTTCCTTGATCTTTGAGAAACTTCTGTCTGTCACTGAAAGAGGAGTCAGTAAGGCATATGGTAAGAGCATTATTTCCTTATGATATTTGGCATTTTGGTCTCCTGATATTCCCCCAACAACAACATATACAGCAGATGAGGAAAGTAACATAGGAAGGCCCATGATGAGTATCCAACTGGGCTAGCCTCTAGCCTGGTGCCTACGGGATCACAGTTCTCAGATCTGCAGTCCATAGAATTCCTGGGGATGAGTCTAAAAATACCGACAAGAAGTAGTCAGCATGATGTTCTGTCCCTGGTCTCATTTAAAGGTTGGCTTCTGAGCACAGAGAAGGGCTAGAAAGCTTAATATATAACTGCAAGGAAAATGAAGTCAGTGATCTGAGCTGGGTAAGTTGTCAATCAAAGGAAGGTGTTACTATTCCTTAGTTAGGAGGTATGCAAAACTGTTACTGCTTATATGTCCAGGATCTGCAGTGATCTAAAGTGATGCAGTGGTTCCATTTGCCTTCATTTCCACCCAACTAAATTAAAAGGACAAGGGAATCCGTGGATATGTAGAACTGAATTGTATTGCAAAATAAAAATAAAAAAATTTTAAAAAAAAGTAAAAGGACACTTCTACACATGCTTTTGTAAATACAAACTAGCTTTGTTTACAGCCTTTCATTGAAAAAAATATTAATCTGAAAAAAAAAATCTATCTTCTGACACCCCCAGGTGAAGGAATATACTTTTATGTATTGGCAACTGTTCATTTGCTAACGATGAGGAAATGAAAACTGAGTCGACTCAAAAGGAAATGTACTGAATAAGCCTGGCATACAGCCTTACTGTAACGTCCGCTCTCCTCCTCCCTGCCTCCACCAGCACTCTACTCCAAACGCCCAGAGATCTTCGCTGACAGCTTCTTCGGGGCCCAACCTTCTATACTCTGTGCAGACGGTATCAGGGCAGACATTGGGAGCTGCTATTTCATAAACTAATATAATGCTCACTTACTTTTAGCATTTTTTAATGTGCTCTGTTAGGGAGTATATAGACAAAGATAAGGAAGACGTGATTCTTCTCATGCACAGAGAGATTTGGAAGACTCAGCTTAGGATAATGGAGAACTGTCTACTGTGTTGGGAGTTAGGTAGTCTCTGGTGACCTTTTAAGAGGCATATTGAAGGACTGACAGAGAAATCAGGTTGTGGTGGAATAGACATAAATCAGTAGACATGAGTTTAAAAGTAGGAAGAGAGTTGAGATTGAAAAAGATAATCACCATTAAAGGAGAGCCTGAGAATAGCCAAGGATTTTATAGCACGTGAGTGCACACACGGTTTTTTTAGGCCACGTGTATTGAGGGAAACGGAATGTAAATGTTTGTTAGCTCTTTCCCACCTTCTGCGAGTCAGCCAGCTCCCCCTTCAAGTCCCCGGTACTTCTGAGCAAAATTACTCACTTTGACATATTGGACGAGGACTGGACCAGACACCAGCTGACCCGCAGACAGTTACTCTCTCCCCAATTAAGTCAGTTTCTTCGGAGCAGGAGAAGGTGCAAGCAGAAGCGAAGCTGAAGTTGGCCAGGGGATGGCTGCATTCAATCGCTCCCAGATCAGGGGCTGTGAGAGGCTGGCACGGAGTCACTTCAGCGGAGACACAACAACACGGAACAGTGTTGGTGACCAAAGGCATTTGTCAAGCTTTTATTAACGTAAACTAATTATGCACAATAATGGATTTCATTATGACATTTCCATAGATGATGTGTGCATTGCACTTTGATCACATTCAAACTACCCCCTTTAACTTCTCTTGTCCCACTGTCAGTCTCATTATTAGTCCTGAGGCTCTTTGTTTCATTTTGTTTTTAACTTTTATGCATATGAGGACCTGCATGTATGTATGTGCTGCATAGGATTATCTTTAACAGGTGGTAGTGAGCCACCTAATGTGACCCAATCCAGGTCCTCTGTTGAAGGAACAAGTGCTCTTAAGCACTGAGCCTTCTCTCCAGCTTCCACTCACAAGTTTTCAACCAAAGCTACTAGACTTAATCACTGGAACCATTCACATGAATCTAGACATTTCTAATTTTCTAATTTGTAGCAATTACTTTTGACATTGCTTCCAGGATTTTTTAAAATGGGATATTGAGTAACAGTTGGTCAGGGATGGAGCCAACAAGGCTCCGATAGCCCATGGTGGCATAAGGTAGTCATTCCAGGCTGCTGACCCATCATGGGGACATGCCAACCCTGCTGGAAATGCCACACCATACAGCCTTGGACTCAAGAGCATGCATGGCACATTCTCAGTGCCTGCAAAGATTCCAGCCTTCTCATGTGTTGTGACATCTACTCAAGCAGTTGACAGACACCCCCACCCCCCAAAGCGGGCTAAACTTTATACAATTCATCACTTAACATTCATTGAGTTCTATGATTTCAATGATGGATTTTGGTTTTCATTAGAGAATTAAACTAGGAGACCAGAAATATAAATGTAGAAAGTCTAACCAGAACTTCATAAACACAAACCCCATCGGTTTTTATTTTCCGTCTATGTGTGGCACACCTTGTCAGTCAAAAGAGGGTGAAACCTACTCTGTTTCAGATGAAAACAATAGAGAGCATGGCCTTTGTTTTTCACAGCTATTGTTATTCTCCTGAGCTCTTTCACAGGAGAAAAACAAATAATAGATGACTTTAAAAATGTACCAAATGCAACAACCAAGAAAGACCTCTGCTACCTCTGAGGGAAACTGGTTGGTGCTAAGTAGGGCACCACATAAAATGGGTGTTATTGAAAGGAGAGGAACCAAAGTTCAACTGAGGTTCATCAAGGCTTTATGGGATGACAATGAGAAAAAATAAAATATAGAGCATAACTCCAATGTATTGCCATCAATCACATTATAGAATGCCAGGTGACTTTTGGGGTTTTGCTTATTTGTTTTGGAGTTTTGTCTTTCATTTTAGTAAGGCAAAAAAGAAAACCTTTTGAAAAGCATCAAACTACAACCAAAGTTGGGTTAAATTATATATAGAAGAAGAAACAGACTTCTAGGCAAGACTCCTCTATGTTTTCTCAGATTATAGGTACAAGCTTGTCACAATGAAGAATCCGCTCTAAAGTCACGTACCTTGACAGACTGGCTCTAGAGATGACCAGTTTCCATATGGTCCACAGTGTGTTTCTCCAATCCCAAGTAACTCTGATCCCTCAGAACAGTTGAAAGCACACTGTGAGTGGAAGCTGAAGTCTCCCAAGGGGTGAGTGCAGTCCATAGCACCCAGTTCTGGGGCCGTCAAAGGCTCACACTGAACCACTTTAATGGGGAGAGAAGAAGCAGGGTTGGAAAGAGTTATGAGGATCAGATGGATTTGAGTCTTATCTCTGTTACTTGATAATCATTGGTCTGTCTTGGGGTCCAAAAAAATATTCTAGGAAGAAGTGGTCTCTGAACTATGTTTTAAAGATGACCAGGTTTGTGATCCACAAGTAGAATCATAGAGAAAGTCATAAACAAAACCACCAGAACACAAAGTGTATGTGGAAAGCAGAAAATTGCCAAAACATTGATATTGATGAGTCAGAGCACCATCTGAGGTATGTATAGGGAGAGGGGAGCAGAGACAAAGCACTCATTGTTTTCATTCCACTAATGAGCACATGTTATGTATCAAGCATCATGTTTAAACTTAATGAGTTCAGATTTTACCAAGACAAATGATAGAGACAAATTAAAGAGTGAATGGTCATATATATGTGTCTGGAATGTTCTGATTATTTTTCATCAGTCAGCCTGCCTGCAGTATGAGTCACTTACTTGCAGGGAGCTAATTTAAAGTTCTGGAGCTCATCTATGGACTACAGCAGTAACAGGAGAAAGACACCAAGGGCAAGGGTAGTAGACAAGCAGGAGGGAAATTGGAGAAGTACCAAGTTATAAAATGCAATTAGCAAGAGGACCGGTGGGAAGAAGAAGGGGATTGGCAGAAGTGGAATGGGGGAAGGGGGTGAATGTTATCACTGTGCATTATATGCAAGTGTGATAGTGCCAGACAATTTAAATTAATAAGAATTATTTTATTGAATTGTATGTGTATGGGAGTTTTGCCTGCATGTGTATGTGTGCACCATTTGTGCGCCTGAAGCCACAGGAGGTCAGAAGAGGGCATTGTATCCTCTGGAACAGAGTTGTGGATAGCTGTGGGTCACCATGTGGATACTGGGAACAGAACTCAGGTCTTCTGTAAGAGCAGCCAGTGCTCTCAAGCCAACCCATCTCTCCAGTCCCATAAAATAACAAAGTTTTTGAAAACTGAATTTGCATTGTGTTATCTTACACAAGTGTTGGAGGAGGTGACAGTTTCACAGTCGAGTCATTTCGTGTGTTATTTCCATGTAATGTGGTTACAACCACACACACAAAAACTGGCCAGAGACACTTGGCTTGTAGACATCTAAGACAACATCCTTAGCATGTTTAGAGGTCATGGCTAAAGACAGGTTTGTCACTCCAAAGATCATATAGGTGTACAAATACACAAAATTCAGGAAATTTGATGAAAGAAACAAACCCAGTCAGAAAAACAATAGAAAAGAGGGATGCTAAGACTAAGGATTTATGGCCTTGGATAAGTACCAATGGAAGAACCCGGGAGAAATTATTAATTAAATTAAAAAGACAATCAGAAAAGGATATGATGCAAAGCAAGAAAGAAAACATGATGTTTAAAAAGGAGTGGCATAAATGGACAGACCAACAATATGGTAGAGGGAAAGTGTTTGAGGAGAGTCACAGCTTGGGGATTAGCGAATTAGTCAGATCTATTCAGTTGGTTAATACTGAAATTAATGTTAGTTTCAGTCCTTTATTCCTGAAAAACATTACTTTTCTTCTTCTTACAGTTTTCCATTGTGTGCGTTAGACACATCAAACACATTTTGAAACTCAGCCAGCCTCAAAGGATTTGATCCTCCTTCCAGGAGTCATTGACTGAGTCCAAGCCTCGGACTTTGCACATGTGTGCTCTCTCCTTTCCAGGTCTACCCCAGCATCTCTGAGTGGCTTCATAAGGCTCCCAGTGACTCTTTCCATCCCCTTTTCTTGGAGGTCCTAGCAGAGATCCTTTGTGTCGTTTCTAGGATAATGGCCCTTGGTGTTGGTGGTAAGACACTGAGTGGACACTCATTGCAAATAAAGGACAAGTGATTTTATTAGGAGATTTCCCCACAAGCTTATTCCTGTTCATATCATATTCCTTCAAGCTTGATCATTGAACATATATAATTTCTATTAACTAACTGTAAATCCCATAGGTACAGAATCTTTCATAACTTGCTTCTGTATTCTCCAGAAATAACCAAATACCCAGGGTAGGATTTATTATTAAATAGCTGTAGCATAGTCTGTGAATCATATGTGAGTTCTGCCTTCACTATTCCTCATCGTGTCTGTCTATAGACCAGCAAGAGTGCCTTCCAGATACCTCACTCTCCTAATGACAAATATAATTGTTTCTGTCAGTTTTCAGAGTTCTACTTAATCCAGCAAGCTCATTAGAATATGACATCCTTGAAAGCAGGGATCTACAAGACCTGGTTTCTTGTTGTAATCTGCTTAGCTTTGGCAAATCTCAACACCTCGTTCCTTGCGGTACTTCAAAACACTTGCGAAGCAAATTGAAACTGCACGTTGACTTATGAAATGTTTACAGGAAGACAGCATTGTGAAAGCCCAATTTTCTGTTCAGAACTTCCCATTTCTTAGAATGGTTCATCTTAGGTTGTTCCTGGTGTATCATTTTGCCCCAACCAGCTGCTCTCCTAAGCTATTATGGTTCTTGTGACTAGGGGTGAGAAGAAACAAGTAGACAATCAAAAAGGAAGGGGCTTACCATGCTGACACTGGGGGCCATAAAACCCCTCATCACAGCTGCAGGTGTAATTGTTGATGGTTTCCACACATTCTCCATGGCCGCTGCAAGACCCTGACTGGCAAGAGGCTATAAGCAGATAATTCAAAGACATTTTAGTGTGATGACATCCATACTCCCTTCCTCACACACACAAAAAGCTTTTGTTTGACATTATTATAATTAACAAGAAAGATTTGCTTAAGTACTCATAACATTTTTGCACAATGATGCATACTAAAATTGTTATTTATGGGATTGCCTAGCCATTTGGCTATACATTTATTTGCTTTTAGAATGAATTTTCTGCCTGTCACTGGGACACAGGCTGTCTATCTCTGTTTCCCACATAACATACAACCTGGATAGAACCTGACCTAGTTGTTGAGCCCAGGGACCAGCTTTACATACAGAATACTCAGAAGTGCTGTGCTTAAGGCTTATGTAGGGTTATTTCAGAATGAACTAGCAGTTTCTAGGTAATGAGTTGGATTATTCCAACTTTGGTCCTCCCAAGTCAGAGTCGGACAGGAGTCTGGTCACTACCCACCTGTGTAGCAGAGAGCTGCCTTTCGTTTGTGGCAGGCGTCATCATTCCATTTCCCAGAGTCTTTTTCCCTCTTGATATAGATCTCTACGCAGTCCTCTTTGGACTTCTTGTTGTTGGGCTCCCCAGCTCCCCAGTTCTCTGCTTCTTTAGTCAGAGGCTTGTTGGTTCCTACCCATGTCCATGTTTTTCCAATTTTCCGGATTCCTATCCAGTAGTAAGTAGGGTTTTTGGGCAAGGTCTTCTCCAAGTACTCAATTTCTCTCTTATTTTGTATGGCCACTAAATCTGTGTAATTTTCCTTGCAGAACTTTCTAGCATTTTCCCAGTTCATGGATTTTTCAGAATAGTGGTAAGTCCAACAGTGAGTTCCACGGTATGCCAGGAAATCTGAAAAACACCAGAAAATATGATGACTCAGGATATCCTAGGACCAGGCACTGATGCAGGCTGCCCATCACTCAGGGATGAAGAAACAAGAGCCCGAGAGAACAGGCATGCATCTTAGGTTCACAGTGTTAGCCATTGGTAGACTTGGATCCCACTCCAGGACTAGTATACATAAATATATCTTTGTAGATTTATTTAAATGGAAAACCTTTCTCAAAATTCTTTCAAGTGTAATTTGTCCAATATACTTTAGAAATATGTGTCACCAACAGCTCTAAACTTCACGCTACATTTTCTAGTTCTGGGATAACTTCCTAAAGGCTAACACAGCACACATACGAAATTTCTCTTTTAGGTAAAGTAAAATAGGATCAGGAAACACAGTGACATAATTTTAAGTACTTTTCTGGAACATAAAAAGATAAAACTTTATTGTAGAATAAGCTGCTATTGGGTAAGCCTCCATACATTGTCCAATTGTTGTGCATCTAAACTCATTGTAAAGAAAGAGCAATAGACATAAAAAATAATTCAAAGACACAAAATTGACTATATCATGTTCTATATTCAAAGATACTCAAATAATGGTGTCTAATAAACATATGGGGGCTTCAAGCATGAGGGGTTTGAAGAAAGCAAACACAACACATAATTATACACAGTGACCATGATGATATTGGCCTTCTAAGTATGGTATGATCTCTGTGAAGTAAAATAAAAGATTTCAATTCATTGAGCTTTTACTTCATAAGGTGAGTACTACAGAGAAACCAAAACTTCCTTCTAAATGTTTTTGCTTAAGCCCATAGTCCTGAGCTGCTTTCAACCTGGATCAAGAGACTTCTTTCTCAAGTGGATAGCAGTCAATAGAAGGATGTGTAACTGTTAAATTCTGAGAATAAGAGACTCAGTGTTCAGCCCTAAATGGGACATCTCTGTTAAACCCACAGCCATCCAGGCTCATTGCAGAAAAGACACAAAGGATGTAAGAGCCAGAGGATGGGGAGGGGCGCTGTGCAATGCAGTCTTCTGGACATGACGTGCTGAACGCAATCTTGAACTCACAGCAGCTGTGATTGTCTGCACAAGATCAAGCATAGATGGGGTAGAGGATCTCTGGCCCCAACCCTTACTGAGGAGCTATTGGACAGCTGCTGGGGAGGGAGCACCATTCTTTCTGAGGATGTAGCCACTGCTAGGTTTCCCAAGCTCCAGCAGAAGGATCACATCCATAAACATATGGGTAGCACTAACTGGACTTAACAGGTTATCAAAAAAAAAAAGAAGAAGAAGAAGAAAAAAAAGAAAGGAAGTTGGGAAGGGCATGTTGGGAGCGACATGGGGTAAGTTGAAGGGGGAAAAGACATATAAATATGATCATATTTTATTGTTCATGTATAAAACTCTCAAAAGTAAAGAAAAATGAACAAAACAAAGACAGAATGTGTTCATTTGTTCTGAGCTGAAAATCCAAGCTAAGGAAGAAGGAAACATGAGTATCTTAGGCAATGGCTTAAAAAGTTCAAATTTATCGATGAAGAGTCTCTAAGGCTTAAAATGTAAAACATGTAACATCAGTAGAAAGAAAAAAAAACCAACTCCCCAAACATAAACAAAAACCCAGCCCTCAAGCAACCCACACTGTGACCATAAACGTTCACTTGGTGCACAGAAAACTATTAATAGAAAATAGGATGTAAAATAAGTAAGTGTTCCAGGTAGTAAGTGTATTATTAGAGGTTTCCCAATTAGCGGCATTACTTCATAGTGGAAGGCCATGGTGCAGTTCTCAGGATTAGGGTGTTTCACTACAGAATGTGGCACAAAAAACTGGTGTTAGGCTCAGAGAAATGCAGAAGATCAAAGGAAGAACAGAGAGTCCTTAAAAGAATTAATAGCCAAAAAAAGAATTAATAGCCATCTACCTGATTATTTCCCCTGCAACTGTACAGTATCAATGGATATTAAGCAAAGAATAATCACAAACTATAAAGGCTTAGCAAACTACGAATGACTTACCGCAGCAGAGCACTGTCCAGACCCACAGCTTGAGGATGCTCCATGAGCCCCATTGAGTACTCGGACATCTCCATAGAAACACCTGTAAATGAAAGGGAAAATGATATTTAAACTCTTCACTACAAACTTACACTCCCTTAAGGTGGTGCCCTACAATTTTCTTTAAAAAAAAAAAAGTAGAGCTCATCAGCCTAATGCTTTATCCAAGGTAAAATATTTGGGGGATGTGGCTGAAAACAATGGCAACAAATTTACTCCAAACTGGTGCACTGTTTTATTTCATTTTGTTTCCATGTTTCAGTCCCAAGTTGTTGATCATTATCAATAGGATGTTTTTTCTGCATTTTGGTAACCTTGGGCTGAGCTTTAAATCAAACTAAACACTATTTTGAGTGCATGTTTTTTTAATGTTCATTGGTGTTTAATGGACTAAAGATGCTCAAATTTGCTGTCTTCTCACACTAGGTCATGATGGATTCGTGAGTGAATGATATAGCCAGACACCACAAAAGGAAAACAATTCATCTTTTCCAAGTAGGAAGCAGTACATTTTGAATAGCGCAAACAACGAAGCCACAGATTTTTGTGCACATCTTAAGACTGTAGTTGTGCTTGTCTATCACTTCTCAGGTAGCCCCTTTGTGCCACGGCACAGTCCTAATCTCAATAGTACCTCTTTCAGAATCTGAACAGAGCCAACACCAAAGGACGAAGTCAGCAAGAAACAGACTAGAGTCACTTTTTTGAGACAACATGCTTTTTTGTTTGCTTGTTTCTATCTTTCTTAAAATCAGAAATGGGCCGGGCGGTGGTGGCGCACGCCTTTAATCCCAGCACTCGGGAGGCAGAGCCAGGCGGATCTCTGTGAGTTCGAGGCCAGCCTGGACTACCAAGTGAGTTCCAGGAAAGGCACAAAGCTACACAGAGAAACCCTGTCTCGAAAAACCAAAAAAAAAAAAAAAAAAAAAAATCAGAAATGACAGCTTCTTGCCCCTTGCCACCTGCCTCTTCAACCCCAAGGAAACATTTGAATGTCTAGAGATCTTACAAGCTAGAAGGCTCACCATGGCTTGCTGGGTCTCTCTGCAGTTCCTCTGCAGCCCTCAGCCTTCAGCACCTGGGGCTCTGGGGGTTCTTGCACAAGGAGGACGTGCTGTGCTCAGGAAGAATGTGCTAAGTGTTGCCAACAGGGCTTGCTTTCTTTCATTTCTCTAAGCCAGTCTCACATCCTCCTCCCCCTTTTCTTCCCCTTTCTCATCTCTCTTTCTCTCTCCCCACCCCTTTCCTAAGCGGGTCTCAATCATCTGCCCTGAGAACACAGTCGCTGACTAGAAGCTGTGGCAACTGGATTCTTCAGCACATCTGCTCAGTCTTTTCTGTTCACCTGCGCATCCTTCCCTTCCTTCTCTCCCGGCTTCCCTTTGGTTTCCCTGTTGTTTGGTTTTAGAAACACCTGGCTGTGAGGTAGGAGACCCTGAAAGTGCTGCAGATAAAAAGTCACTTCAGATCCAGTTACAAGGCTGTTGAGCTTGAGTAGCTCTCTCTGGAAGACTTGGCCCAACTCAGTTTCTTTCCTCCCTCTTCCCTTGCTCACCCCCTAGTGGAAGTCCTTGTTAATGGCTTGTCTGAAATTTAAACCCTAAATACAATCCCCAGACTCTAGATTTTGGCCCTAGTTTGGGGACTTAGAAATACCTTCAGTATAAAATGTGCAAGAGATAAGACAGCATATAAAATTTGAATTCGGCCAATTAAAGGCAATCTAAAACCAGTCATGGACATAATAGTGTTTGCATTGTAAGAAAGTTAATAATGACAAACATCATGACATGTATGTGCCAACACACACACACACACACACACACACACACACACACACACAAAATAAATAAAATAAAATAAAATAGGAACAACAATAACAACAGTAGAATTTAACAGGTCATGTTAATTACCTTTTAATATCTAAAATACTACTGGGAAGGAACTAGTACTAGTCTTATTTTTTACATTTATTTGTTTTTAGTTAATTTCATAGCTCCTTGCTTAACCCACCCCCAAGTACTACTGACTATCATCCCCTGAAAACTCGCCAACATGTTTCTCAGCTTCATGTACTTTCTTGCTTTTTATAACCTACTAAGTCTAAGTAGTGCTGCCTGTTAGAATGTTGACTGATCTTTCTGGCTTGAACATGTGCAGGTAACCATGCCTACAGTGAGTTCATGGATGTAACACCTCCATCAATAGATTACCAGGTTGAAACAATGAGTGGACTTTCTGAGAGACCGAGTGATGTAATTTAGCTCAGACCCAAAGCTTGAGAAGCAGGATTACCAGCATCCTAGGACAGGGTGAAATAAATGTCAGAGCTCAGGGTGACTTTGTTCTTCCTCCAACATGAAGTTTAATTTGGATGTTTAATGCGTTAGATGAGGTCTACCCATATCAGGCCTGTGTATTAACCCCACAGTAGTAGGAAGAATGTATGTATCTGTAGGGAGGAGCCTCACTGTGAGTGTAGTCCTAGGGATAATTGAATCTTAAGTGTAAATTAATATGAACTTTTTTGAATTACAGCAACTGAGACTGTCAGGCAGCAAAAACTTTGTTTCCTTGGTCTCGGTGATTCCTTTAGATTATTAACATGCTTGGATATTTTTTGGTATTGGCACGGGAGCCTATATGTATAAAACTTCACACGTACTGGAGTAGTGATGACCAAAGAGAGACAATGGGAAGTATTGACTAGAATGTGGAGAAACTGGAACCCTTCTTCTCATTGTAAAATGGAACAGCCTCTTTGGGAGAGAGTGGGACGAGAGTTCTTCTAAAAATAGAAAAGAGTTCCTATGTGACCTGCCTCCAGATAAATGCGAAAGGGGGTGGAGAGAAGGTTGCACCTCAACTGTTGCACTCAGGTGTTCACAATAGCGTTATTCACAGTAATCAAAATGTGAAAAGAAACTCAGAGACAATCACTTGAGTGACAGAATGACACAAATCTGGTCAATCCATACAAAGGATATAATTTCTCTGTAAACAGAATGAAGTGTTGATGCAAGCTACACCATGGAGGACCCTAGGAAACAGTACGCTAAGTAAAAAGAGCTAGACGGATGATCACAAGGTACTCCATGTATATAAAATGTGCTGAATAGGCAAATCCATAGACAGAATGTAGATTAATATTGCCATGGGAGGGAGAGACAAGATTGTGAGGAAGCTGCTAATTGACTGGGTTTCATTCTACAGCAATAGAACTGTTGCAGAGTTAGGTACATGGTTGCCTGGTATTCCACTTTAAAAGAGGGAATTTTGTGCCAACAAGATGGCTCAATGGGTAAAAACACTTGCCCAGCCAGCCCATGGTGGAAAGAGAGAACTGAGTCCTCAAAGATGTCCTCTGGTCTCCACACATTCACAGTGACAATCAGACACACACACACACACACACACACACACACACACACACACGATCATTCAATCAATTAAATTAATTAAAATGTAAATTTTACCATAAAGGGGAGGGGATGGGGGTGAGAACATGAGGAAATAGATGGTCGAGTTGGGTGAGGGATGGAGTGGGAGAGCAACTAAAGAGATATCTCAATGGAGGGAGCCATTACAGGGCTAGGGAGAAACCTGACGCTAGGGAAATTCCCAGGAATCCACAGGGATGACCCCAGCTAAGACTCACAGCAGTAATGGAGAGTGTGCCTGAATTGGCCTTCCCCTGTAATCAGATTGGTGAATATCCTAACTATCATCATAGAACCTTCATCCAGTAACTGATGGAAGCAGAAGAAAAGATCCACATTCAAGCACCAGGTTGAGCTACTGGAGTCCAGCTGACATGAGGGAAGAAGGATTATATGGGGTGGGGGGTCAAGATCGTGAAGGGGAAACTCACAGAGACAGATGATCTGAACCTGTGGGAGCACATGGACACTAGACTAACAGCTGGGGAGCCTGCATGGGACCAAACTAGGACCTCTGCATGTGGGTTTGTTGCCTGGTCTGTTTGTGGGACCCCTAGCAGTGGGACCAGGATCTATCCCTCATGCATGAGCTGGCTTTTTGAAGCCCATTCCATATGGGGGATTCCTTGCTCAGCCTTGATGTGGGAGGGGATGGGTGTTGGTCCTGCCTCAAGCTCCAGGCATTGTTGACTCCCCATGAATGGCCTTACCCTTTCTCAGGAGTGGATGGGAGTGGGTTAGGGGAGGTGGAGGGGGAGCGAGAGAAGGGGAGGAAGGGGGACTGTAGTTGGTATGTAAAATAAATTTTAAACATGTAAATTTTATCCTATACAGATTTTATCTAGATGAACTAAAAATGCTAAGAAGGTTTATATACACAAAGATAAGTAAAAAGGCATTTATTGTCAAACATTATACTGACATGTGAATACAACAAATTTGACATATTTAAATAAATACATACTTTTGACCCATAAAATATTTTCAATCATAATTTAAAATACTCTATAAAATTCAGATACAGAGCACATTCTTATTTCACACAGTTATTTCTGATACAAAATATATAATACAAAATATACATTGTGTGCTTTCACAACAGTTACTCCTTCTCTGGGTCTTGCGGTCTCTCTTCTTCCCCTCTCCCCACCCCTTGGTACTAAAGCTTGTCACACTCCTTGTTCACCATTGGCTTCTCCATTGCCACTATCCAGTAAGCACTTTTCAAAAACTCTCTTTCTCTAAGAGGTTAATTTGGAAGTTGGGACACTTTTGATGGGAACAGCCTTGGCACTCACTTAGTGATCAAGGATTTGTCCTTGCCAACTACAGGTGAAATTCCTTAGGAATTTTAATCTCTGTAAAGCAACACAATCGTTGTGTACACAAGCTTTCCCCTCTAGAACATATGAACACTGAGAATGAAACAGCTACAGAATAACTGTTAGACACTTTTACTCTTTCAAAATCTACTGCCTGGATCTATTGCGTGGTGAACTCTCATCATGGATTTAGAATCGTATATGATATACAAGAATCGGGTAGCTACTTGTCACACATAAGACCCACCTTTATAGGACTGCAGAGCACATTCATATTTAGACAAGCTGTTAAACAAATACTTTTAAATGCACCTCCACTTTTAGCATTTATGCTTTTATTAAATCAGAACATTTGGCCTCAAGGAAGCTCTTTCTTTCAGAAAGAAAAAAACCCACATTTTTGGGGAAAAAGCCCCCAAACATGCAGACTCCCTCTTCAACTTCTGTTCTTCTGATAGTACCATGTCTTAAAACCAGCCACAGTTAAATACTCAGGAGTTCACACTGATCAGTAATTCCTCGTTTTGAAGATAAGTTTACTGCAGACAGAACATTAGGATTTGCTAATAAAAAATGATTTAAGGTAACTTTTGCCTTGTCATAGGTCACAGGATTCCTGATTTTTTTTTAAAGTCCTTTTGACCCTTGCACTGAAATAAGAGTAATGGACAACATGGTGGATTCCATGCAAGGACACAGAACACAATGTCTGAGAATACTTCAGAAGCCACTGAATCCCATGGGGATAAAGCCAGTAAGCCTGCCTAGCAGTGCTAACACATAGCACTCAGCAGGATTTGCACCTTGTATGCCAACAACATTCCCATGCCATAGTCTGAGGATATGACGATTTCGATTTTTTTTCAAGAGAGAGATAGAAAACTGTTTGCTTAAAACTGCTGATAAATATTATTTATCCCTGTAACAACAATAACAGCATTAACCATTGAAAAATTGGAGAACAAGAGAGAAAACGAAGCTACAAAATGCTGTTTCTCTTCCCAAATTCCAGTGACTAAGGTAGAATTCTGCCATTCCAGGGCTTGGTCCATTCACTCTCTTTTGAAGAGAATACCCTCAAACTTCTGTGGCCAGCATGTTCTTGGTACTGTGTCTGGGAAAGAGGAAATTGAGTCTCTCTGGTAGAGGGCTGGCCTTGTCACTGAATTTTGATCCACGAAGTCAAAATCCCAGTTATTAAGCAGGCAAGAGAGACCAGAATCCCAGAGTCAGCTCATTTTCTGCTGACTTCAGCATATTATTCTATCTCCCAGGACGCATCTGTGTTCCTGCAAATACAAGCAAGTGTGAAAACCTTCCAAATATCCTGTGTGCTGGATAGCAACAACAAACTGCATCTTTTAAGCAGGCTGTTTCTTGGGAGTGATCCATTGTAATTTATAACTATGTTAAGAATTTATAAATCGGTTAAAGCTATGGAGTATATAACTTAAAGAATGAATCCTTGTGAACCTTGGGCTTTAATTAACAGAAATTCAACTGTATTAGTCATCGTTAAGAACTATGCTAAAGAAAGATGTTAATAATAAAGAAAATAAGGAAGGAGGCTGGAGAGGCAAATTGAAACATCTACTTTCTGTTCATTTTTTCTCTAAGTCCCAGACTACACCAAAAATTCTGTTCATTAAGAAAAATGCATTTGGAAGGTCTTAACCTTCCAGATATGTTCCCAGAAGCAATGCAGATATTGAGGACCACAGATTCCA